CTCTGTTATTTAAATGGATTTGTAGCCTTGGATAAATCTCTGAGTCTGTTTCAACAGTAAAATGGTGATAAGAATACCTACTTGAGTATTAGGGATATAGAATGTCATCCTCATAGAATAACACTGAGAATCATTAACTATTTGCTATCATTGTGTCTGTGTACATATAAAAAAATCAGGACTTTTTTTGTATTTTGAATTAGTGAAAGTTTAGGAATATAGCCCTGGCCGGTTGTTCAGTGGTTAGAGTGTCGGCCCGCGGACAAGTGAGTCGAGGGTTCGATCTGGGCAGGGTCACATACCTTGGTTGTGGTTCATCTCTGGCCCTGGTTGGGGTCGTGTTGGAGGCAACCAGTCAATGTGTCCCTCTCACATTGATGGTTCTCTCTCTGTCTGTCTCTCTCTCCCTGCTTCCTACTCTATCTGAAGATAAATGGAAAAATGTCTTTGGGTAAGGATTGAAAAAAAAAAGTTTAGGAATATAGAGTTGTGTGGGATGGAGGTTATGTATTAGAAAAATTGCACACATGCATAACATTTTTGGCTTATAGTGGTTAAGGGTGTTACATATCCTTCAAAGTAAAAGATGTCTCAAGGATAGATGGGCAAGTGGTACTCTACCTAAGGGTGATGGGGGTCCAGGTGCAACTAGAACTCTCAAAAGTGGCTAGTGGTTCTCCCATTGTACACGTGGTAGTTTTGCTCTTTGATTTGTAATCATAGTTCTTTTTTATAAGGCATGTCATTTCTGGGCTTTTTAATTTCAGCCTGGCTTTGAAAACTTTCATCAAAACATGCCACCCCATTTCCAGTTTATTCATACCAGATTGGCCTTTCTGAAGCTCTTATTTTCCTTTCCTGGCCCCATCTTGGTGAATCAACACTTTATATTCCTTTACCTATGTTTTTTTTTTTTTTAAAAAGACCTGGCACTCTCAGCAAATTCTGTGTGACCTGGGTGCCTTGAGAGGTAGCAAAGAATAGAAATTCATTTTGGATTTTCCTCTGTGAAATCCCTCTCTCCTCTTGTGTTTCTAGTCCCTTCTAATCCTAATGCCCATCATACTAATAGTTTATTAAAAATTCAAAAGCTAGCAAAAGTTCTTCCCCAAACTGGTGCTGGGCCTGCAGAAGTCCCAGGTGTTTGTGTTCAAGGAGTATATAATTTAGTGAGAACTGAACAACACTAAGGCTTCCACAGGTTTTCCCTGTGTTACCGGAAAGGAGACCTTGCCCGAGGGGTCTGCCTAGGGCCAGCCGGTAGTGTGTGTGGGTTCTTGACTTCGTGCAGGAAGTTTCACCAGAGTCCGGGTGAATTTTAGAGGACGTCTATTAAAGCTTGGGGCAGTGAAACAAGGAAGGGCGGGGGAATGAGCCCAGGCTGGGCTGCTTTGGCTCAGAGTTAGAGAGAAGGAGGCCTTGCGGAAGGTTCAAGGGGTTTGCCTGGAGTGAACTGCCTTTGCCCATTGTTGCCCTGGTTGCAAGCCTCAAGGGATTCTCCATCCTAAAAAAAAATTTTTAAGTGTGGAGATCTTAGAGGAGGTGTCAGGGGAGAGTCTCAGCAGAATATTCATCAGCTTTCCAGGAGAGTTCTTTCAGGGTCTCCACTGATTGGTAGGTGCCAGGGCAGGATTCATTAATGTATGCAGCTAGTCCTGAGGTCGGCAGCGGCGCCTCCTGGAGCTAAAATACAACTGAGGCCTCGATGTCATCTCTAGGGTGTGACCTTATGTCTCTGTCTGTAAATTGTTCGGCCAGTTTATTCAGCTGTCTGTCTCAGTTTCCCCATTCCACTTGCCAAGGAATTTTCCTAGCTTCTTACTAACCTGCCGCACCTGGACATAGACTTTGTACCCTGGGCCCACTCTCCAAAGTCCATGATTGTTTGAAGACACCTTACACCTAGACTTGTTTGTTAGAACTCATTACATGAGAGTTTTTTCACCAGCAAAGGTTATCTTCAGAGTGGAATAAAAGTGCACACGCACACACACACACACCATGTGTGTACACTTATGAACTATCCAAACACCTGACAACTATTAGGAGCTTGCTCATAAACCTGTGGATACTCTGGTGTTTTGTAAAGTTGGTTATTTGCAAAGCTTTGTCCTTCATAACTGCTTGTCCTTAGAAACCTGCCTGTCAGGAAATGGGGCCTCTGGGTATTGTTTGCTACAAACAAATAGCTTCCTACACTTTTGGCAGAAATGTAGAATCAGTAATCCAGGGATTAAGAGCCAGCATCATGATTTGGGATTGGTGAATTGTAGCTAGAACTAAGACCAAGAAAATGAAGTTGGGTAGGGATTTATTTTTCCAACAGACTGGGTGGTTGAGAGATATGTCTTATTATAAGGAGGCAATTTCCGCTTACTAAGATAATATATTAAAGTGAATATCCTTGCATATTTTCTTAGTTTTTCCCTCATCTTTTTCAGTTAAACAAATATTTAAGTAATACCAATTACAATCAAGTCACTGTTCTGGATCTCCTTTATGCTCATGTTATTTTATCTTAATTTTTAAATTAATTATTAGAACTTGGCAACACATTACGCAGTAAGTTGTACAATGAAGAGTAATTCTTATTTCCCAAACTTGTACCCCAGTCATTGATCCCTCCAGCTACCCAATCCTCCTCAAACTCTGCACTGGTTTCTTACATATTCTCCCAGAGATAATCCATGCATATGTAAGAATCTGTGTGTATAATAGTCTTTTTTTTCACACAAATAATGCTAGCAAACTGTGATAGACTCATTTTGGTGGCCCTCCCAATGAACTACACCTCCCTGTGTTTGAAGTCCATATGTAATTCCCTCCCATATTGATTGAACCTGGCCATGTGACTGGATTTGACCAATGGTGAACTAGTAAGTATAATGCAAGGACAGCTTGGTGTGTGCTTGCACAGCGAGACCCGTTCTCTGGGAATGCTCACTATTGTGACACTCCCCCTTAGAACCCACAAACGACCAATTGTGAGGTGTACCCAACCTAGCCAGTGGAGGGGCTACATGGAAGAGAACTGAGGTCCTTGCTGACAGCTTCCAGACAGCAGCTAGCATCAACTTGCCAGTCATATGAAGAATGAACCCTCTTGGAAGTAGAACCTCCAGCCCTGGGCAGTCCACTGCCAAAGATGCCATGCAGCACAGAGAGTGAGCTTTCCATACCAAGCCCTGTCCAAATTGAAAAACTGTGAGCATTTGCTATCAGCTACTAAATTTGGTTTGTCATGCAGCAACAGTTGACTGAAGTACTATATACTCTTTCTGTGCCTTGCTTTTTTCAGTGAATGATATATTAGGTTCAATATTTACGGAGTTGCCTTTTTTTTTGCTAATCCTCATCTGAGGATATTTTTTCCATTGATTTTTTAGAGATAGTGGGAGGGATGGAGGGGAAGAGAGAAACATGGATGTGAGAGAAACACATCAATTGGTTGCCTCTCAAACCCACTCCAGCTGGAGCCAGGATCAAACCTGTGACCCAGGTGCACACCCTCGATTGAGAATTGAACCCGAGAACCTTTGGTTCGTGGACTGATGTTCTAATCACTGAGCCACACTGGCCAGGGCTATATAGCCTTTTAAAACTAAACTTTCATTTTGTTAAGCTGCTCAAAAGCTGAAGTTGGAAAGATAATGCATTTTCTGCATGGGGTTTCAGAGATCCATCCATGTAACTGGGAGTCCTCGGAAGATAATAAGTAGGGTTGTGTAGGAAAGTGACTTGCTTTTTGAATCATGTACCATATATAAAGGCCTGTTCCCAAATTTCTGAAATATGTAATAGTACTGGTATAAAAACTATAGCTAAGGGAGTGCTGAGGCTGGGACCCTGTGAAAGAAAATTATGTCGCGTTAATAGAATGGCTGAGACGACATTATTATGAGAAGAAATCAGGAAATTACACTTATACTCAGTACGTTAAGAAAATGGGTCTATTTAATTTGGTGACCACTTGTAATTTTATATAAAACTACAGCTGTCCTGAACATGGAAGGGCTGTGACACTTGGCGAAGGCAGAACTGAGAAGTTCCTTGTTAAATTCAGTTTTCTGTTCTTCCAGCTTTCCCCTCCTGCCCCTCTTGGCCCAGCTCGGCCGCCCTGAATCAGGGAGCATAATTCCAGGTCTTTGTCACTGGCATATGTGGTCTGACCCCATTGGGCCTGGAAGGTCTGCATTTGGAAGATGTACCCTGTGCTTTTTCAGGATAGTTAAGCCCTGCTAAAAGATTGAGACAAACACACCTAGAAGGACATACAGAATTAAGGTGTTACCTAATTTTTGTATTTGCATTGCAGCAGGATCCCTAAACTTAGAGCTAAAAGGACCAAATTCGGGGTGGGGAGGTGGTTTTAAGTGTCGGCCAGTGCAGGGGGAGGCTGTCTTGGGACACCTGTGGCTGCTATGCTCACTGCCCCTGTCGTAGGCCTGCATGATTGTTCTGTGCTTGTAACTGCATTGTGCTCTCCTCCCTTCCCACAGACCCCACCACAGGTAAGAAAAACATTTTACTAAAGTGGGCAAGTTGACATCTGGGTTCAGAATCACAGGATGTCAGAGCTAAAAGGAACATATCTGAACCCTTTCGTTTGATAAAGACAGTTGACATTTGAACAACACGGATGAGTGGACCTGTGCAGTTCAAACCTGTGTTGTTCGAGGCTCAACTTTTTAAATCTGAGGCTGGGGTTCATGGATTTGGAGGGCTGGGTGTTAAGTGTTTGCAGAATAAAAATTATATGCAGATTTCAACTGTAGGAATTGGCACACCTAGCCCCCACCCCACCCTCCACCTCCTGCATTGTTCAAGGTCAACTGTAATGCATATAGCTTTCTTTCCCTGCATTTTGTGCGCTTATACTCTTGGGATGTTTTGACACCGGTGGCATTGTTTTCCATTTTCTCAGTGCCAGACAAGCTGGGACATTTTAGGAAAAAAATTGTTTTAAGGATAAAAAGAGTTATTTTATTTTATTTTTTTAGATTCTATCTAAACTTTCTTTGCCGGCTCGTGCCTGGGAACCAGCAATGAAGCAGAGTTTCGCCTTTGACAATGTTGGCTATGAAGGTAGTCTGGATGGTGTGTGCCCTTCCCAGACAACCACCGGCATCATCAGCATTTCGGGCATGACTTGCCAGTCATGTGTACAGTCTGTTGAGGGCCGGATTTCCAGTTTAAAAGGCATCGTGAGTATTAAGGTTTCCCTGGAACAAGGCAGTGCATCTGTGAAGTATGTGCCATCGGTTATGACCCTGCCACAAGTTTGCTGTCAAATTGAGGACATGGGCTTCGTGACCAGCATTGCAGAAGGAAAGGCTGGCTCCTGGCCGTTAAGGTCTTCGCCAGTCCTGGAGGCCATGGTCAAGCTTCGCGTGGAAGGCATGACCTGCCAGTCCTGTGTCAGCTCAATAGAGGGCAAGATTGGGAAACTGCAAGGAGTAGTAAGAGTCAGAGTCTCACTCAGCAACCAAGAGGCAGTCATCAGTTATCAGCCTTATCTTATTCAACCCCAAGACCTCAGGGATCACGTCAACGACATGGGGTTTGAAGCTGTGATCAAGAACAAAATGGCTCCTGTAAGCCTGGGACAAATTGATATTGGACGGTTGCAGAGCACCAACTCCAAGACACTTGCAGCTTCTAACCAGAATGTCAATAACTCTCAGACCTCAGGGCACCAAGGAAGCCATGTGGCCACCCTGCAACTGAGAGTAGATGGAATGCACTGTAAGTCTTGTGTCTGGAATATTGAAGAAAATATTGGTCAGATCCCAGGGGTTCAAAATATTCAAGTGTCCTTGGAGAACAGAACTGCCCAAGTACAGTACGACCCTTCTTCTGTCTCCCCGAGGGCCCTGCAGAAGGCCATTGAGGCTCTTCCACCAGGGAACTTTAAAGTTTCTCTTCCTGATGGCGCAGAAGGAAGTGGGACAAATAGTAGGTCTTCCACGGGTCACTCCCCTGCCCCCGCCCAGAGAACCCAGGTGCAAGGTGTGTGCTGTACTGTGGTACTTGCTATTGCTGGCATGACCTGTGCATCCTGTGTCCAGTCTATCGAAGGCCTGATCTCCCAAAGGGAAGGTGTGCAGCAAATATCAGTCTCTCTGGCTGAGGGGACTGGAACAATTCTCTGTGATCCCTCTGTAATCAACCCAGAAGAACTCCGAGCTGCAGTAGAAGACATGGGATTTGAGGTTTCGGTAGTTTCTGGTACGTAGTTAATATGGTTTGACATGCACCCTGGGGTTGTCTCCTTTCTCTTTGTGTCTTATGGCATTGTACCTGCATGGTTGGAGAGCTGAGCCACACTCACTGCCCAACATGTGGAGCATGGTAACAATTCTGCAACTGTTCCTTGTGTGTGAAGTTTTCAGGCTAGAGGAAACAGAATTTCCAAGTGTTTATTTAGATTTTGCCTCTCATGTAGCTGGGACTAAAAAGCTGAGGTCCTTGGATTCTTGTTTTTGTTTCTGAGCGTAACCCTGATTCTGTCTTAAATATATATATATATAGTAAATAGGTTTTTATTCACTTTTCAGAGAGAGATAGAAACATCCATGTGAGAGAGAAACATCAATCAGCTGACTCCTGCACACCCGCCACTGGGGATCTACCCCAAAACCCCGGCACGTACCCTGCCTAGGAATCAAACCGGTGACCTTTCAGTCCATGGAATGATGCCCAATCCACTGAGCCACACTGGCCGGGCTGTTTGTTTTTATTTTTATTTTTTTAAATTCTCACCTGAGGAGATTTTATATATATATATTTTTTAATTTATTTATTTTTGTTACAGATGTTTCTCCTTTTTCTCTCACAGATTCTACCCTCCCCCTCCCTCCCTACCCTGTCCCCACCTTTGTTGTCCATGTCTGTTCATGCATACATGCATATAAGTTCTGTGGTTTATTTCTCCCCCACAACCCCCACTTCTGAGGGTTGTCAGTTTGTACCCCACTTCCACATCTCTGGGACTACCCCTTTCCTCAAACTGTTATGTTCATTATATTCCACAAATAAGTGAGATCATGTGATATTTGTCTTTCTCTGCTTAGCTTGTTTCGCTTAGAATAATACTTTCCAGGTCCCTCCATGTAGTCTCAAAGGATAGGAGATCTTTCTTTCTTACAGCTGCATAGTACTCCATTGTGTATATGTACGACTGCTTTTTTACCCATTCGTCTACTGATGGACATTTGGGCTGTTTGCAGATCTTAGCTATTGTAAATAGTGATGCTACAAACATGGGGGTACATATGTTCTTTCTGATTGGTGTTTCAGGTTTCTTAGGGTATATTCCTAGAAGTGGGATCACTGGGTCAAATGGAAGTTCAATTTTTAACTCTTTGAGGTAACACCATATTGTTTTCCATAGTGGCTGCACCAGTCTGCATTCCCCCCAGCAGTGTACTAGAGTCCCCTTTTCTCTAAACCCTCGCCAACGCTTGTTGTTTGATGATTTGTTGATGGCAGCCATTCTGACAGGTGTGAGGTGATACCTCACTGTTGTTTTCATTTGCATCTCTCTGATGATTAGTGATGTTGAGCATTTCTTCATATGTCTCTTAGCCATTTGTATGTCCTGTTTGGAGAGGTGTCTATTTAGTTCCTCTGCCCATTTTCTAATTGGGTTCTTTGTCTTCCTTCTATTGAGTTGTATGAGCACTCTATATATATTGGAAATTAACCTCTTATATGATTTATCATTGGCAGTTTTGCTCTCCCATACAGTGGGTTGCCTTTCTATTTTGATGATTGCATCTTTTGCTATGCAGAAGCTTTTTACTTTGATGTAGTCCCATGTGTTCATTTTCTCCTTTGTTTCTGTTGCCTTAGGTGATGAAACAGTGAAAATTCTGCTGTGTATGGTGTGTGAAATTTTGTTACCTACGTTTTCTTCTAGGATTTTTATGGATTCATGAGTCACATTTAAGTTTTTATCCATTTTGAGTTTATTCTTGTGTATGGTATAAGTTGATGGTCTAGTTTCATTTTTTTGCATGTAGCTGTCCAGTTTTCCCAACACCATTTATTAAAGAGGCTGTCCTTACTCCACTGTATGCTCTTGCCACCTTTGTCAAATATTAATTGAGCATATGGCCTTGGGTCCATTTGTGTGTTCTCTGTTCTGTTCCACTGGTCTGTATGCCTGTTCTTGTGCCAGAACCGGGGTGTTTTGATTACAGTCACTTTGTAGTATAACCTGATACCTGGTATTGTGATCCCACCTACTTTGTCCTTTTTCAAGATTGCTGTGGCTATTCGGGGTCTTTTTTGGTTCCACATGAACTTTTGAAGTATTTGTTCTAGTTCTGTGAAATATGTTGTTGGTATTTTGATGGGGATTGCATTGAATGTATAGATTGCTTTGGGTAATATGGACATTTTAATGATGTTAATTCTTCCAATCCAAGAACAAGGTATGTGCTTCCATTTTTTTATCCCTTCCTCTATTTCTTTTTTCAATGAGCTGTAGTTTTATGCAAATAGGTCCTTTACTTCTTTGGTTAAGTTTATTCCTAGGTATCTTAATTTTTTGCTGCGATGGTAAATGGGATTGTTTTTTCAGTTTCTCTTTCTGTGAGTTCATCATTGGTGTATAAGAATACCATCAAGCCCTGGCCAGTTTGCTCAGTGGTTAGAGCATCGGCCTGCGGTCCAGAGAAACCTGGGCTCAGTTCCTGCTAAGGGCACATACCTCGGTTGCAGTTTGTCCCTGGCACTGGTTGGTCATGCGGGTGGCAGCCACTTGATGTGTCCCTTTCATGTCGATGTTTCTCTCTCTCTCACTCTCTCTTCTTCTCTCTCCCTCCCACTCTTTTTGAACAAATGATAGAAAAATGTCCTCGGGTAAGGGGGAAAAAAAAAGAATGTTATTAATTTTTTGACTTAATTTTATATCCAGCTACTTTGCCAAATTCATTTATTAAGTCTAGTAAATTTTTTGATGGAGTCTTTGGGGTTTTCTACGTATAGTATCATGTCATTTGCAAATAATGACAGTGTCATTTCCTCCTTTCCAATTTGGATCCCTTTTATTTTTTCTTCCTGTCTGATTGCTGTGGCTAAGACTTCCAGTACTATGTTAAATAAGAATGGTGAAAGTGGGCATCCTCATCTTGTTCCTGTTCTTAAGGGAAATGCTTTTAATTTTTGCCCATTGAGTATAATGTTGACTATAGGTCTTTCATATATGGCCTTTATTATGTCGAGATATGATCCCTCTATTCCCAGATTGCTGAGCGTTTTTATCAGAAACAAGTGCTGGATTTTGTCGAATGCTTTTTCAGCGTCTATTGATATGATAATATGATTTTTATCTTTCATTTTGTTTATATGGTGTATCACATTTATTGATTTGCAAATATTGTACCAGCCTTGCTTCCCTGGGATGAATCCCACTTGGTCATGGTGAATAATTTTTTTGATGTATTGCTGGATTTGATTTGCTAGTATTATGTTCAGGATTTTGGCATCTATGTTCATCAGGGATATTGGTCTGTAGTTTTCTTTCTTTGTAGTGTCTTTATTGGGTTTGGAATTTTTTGAAATAGTTTGAGGAGAATGGGTATTAGTTCTTCTTTGAATTATTGGTAAAATTCCCCCGTGAAGCCATCCGGGCCTGGGTGTTTGTTTGCTGGGAGAGTTTTGATTACCTCTTCAGTTTCTTTTGTTCAAGTTTTCTATCTCTTCCCAGTCCAGGTTTGAGAGACTATGTGTTTCTAGAAATTTGTCCACTTTGTTTAAATTGTCGAATTTGTTGCCATATAATTGTTCATAATATTTGTTAACAATCCTTTGTATTTCTGTGGTGTCAGTTATTATTTCTCCTCTTTCATTTCTGATTTTGTGTATTTGTGTTCTCTCTGTTTCTTGGTGAGTCTAGCTAAGGGTCCATCAATCTTGTTTATCTATTCAAAGAACCAGCTTTTTGTTTCATTGATCCTTTGAATTGTTTTTTTGGTCTCCAAGTCTTTTATTTGTGCTCTGATCTTTACTATTTTCTTCCTTTTACTTGCTCTGGGGTTTTCTTTTTGTTTGCTTTCTAGTTCTTTAAGTTGTGAGGTTTGATAGTCTGTTAGAAATTTTTCTTGCTTCTTGAGGTAGGCCTGTAGTGCTATGAACTTCCCTGTCAGAACTGCTTTCGCTGCATCCCATAGGTTTTATGTTGTTGTGTGTTCATTTTCATTGGTTTCCAGGAAGTTTTCAATTTCTTCCTTGATTTCCATGGTAACCCATTCATTGTTCAATAACATGCTATTTAGCCTCCATGTGTTCAAATGTCTTGCATGTTCTTGTTGCAATTGATTTCTAGTTGCATGCCATTGTGATCTGAGAAGATGCTTAATATGATTTCAGTCTTCTTGAACTTGTAGAGACTTAGTTTGTGCCCTAACATGTGGTCTATCTTTGAGAATGTTCCATGTGTACTTGAGAAGAATGTGAATTCTGCAGTTTTGGGGTGTAACTCTCTGTAGATATCTCTTAAATCCATTTGATATAGCGCTTCATTTAGAGTCTGTGTTTCCTTGTTAATTTTTTGTCTGGAAGATCTATCCAGTGAAGTCCCCTGCTATGATTTTATTGCTGGTGATTTTTTCTTTGAAGTCCTCCAGAAGATTTTTAATATATGTAGGTGCTCCTATATTGGGTGCATATATTTTTACCAAGGTGATATCTTCCTTTTGGGTAGGTCCTTTCAATATTATGTACTGGTCTTCTTTGTCTCAAGTTATGGCCTTCATTCTGAAATCTACTTTATCTGATATGAGTATTGCTACCCCAGCTTTTTTTGCTTTCCGTTTGCTTGAAAGATTTTTTTCCATCCCTTCACTTTCAACCTATGTGAGTCTTTTGTTGTGAGGTGGGTCTCTTGCAAACAACATATATGTGAGTCATGCTTTCTTATCCAATCAGCTACTCTGTGTCTTTTTATTGGAGCATTCAAACCAGTCACATTAAAGGTGATCATTGATATGTACTTATTTATTGCCATATTTGTTTAGTGTGGTTCTGTTTTTCTTCCTATTTCTTCCACTAATTACAGCAGTCCTTTTAGCATATCTTGCAGTGCTGGTTTGGTGTTAATATATTTCCTTAGCCTTTTTCTTTTCTTTTCTTTTTTTTAAGTCTAGAAAGCTTTTTATTTGACCTTCTATTTTGAATGATAGCCTTGTTGGATAGAGTAATCTTGGATTCAGATCCTTGTT